TGCTGAACTCCCACATGGCTGACCACAGTTTGAGTCCCAGACCTGGTGTCTTTCTGTGTGTGTGTGTGTGTGTGTGTGTGTGTTTCGCTCTGGTCAAATTAAAAACATAATTGAACTGATAGATAAAATTTAAATTAATTATTTGCAGTTGCTAGGACATGGAATCAATTCAAATGTCCAAAAATAGATGAGTATATTGAAAAAAAATGGCAAATGTACTCTGCGAATACTACTCGGTTATAAAAATTAATGAGACGCTGGGACCAGCAGTTAGTGTAATGACTATGTCGCTGGACTCCCATGTAGTCAACCGCGATTCGCGTCCCGGACCTGGTGGCTTAAAACTCACGCTGGGCACATGTGTCTACGTGCTCAAGATCCCAAGAGGAGAACGGAGGAGAAGGGATTGCTGCGTGACCATCTGCCCTGGGGGGTAATTTCTCGCTTTCTGTCTCTCTGTCTCTCTCTGTTTGTCTGGCAAGCGCACACGCCCTATAGCAAAAACCTCTCCAAAATTAATAATAATAATCAATGAAACACTGACATTTGACACAAAGTGGATGAATATGGAAGACTTAATGCTAAGTGAAGCTAGTCAGACTATGAAAGACAAACTTTGCATGTCCCTGCTCAATATATACTGAGGTCTGCACTCTACAACAGAAACTGAAAGATTGGAAGATATAATAGCAGGGAGGATAACTGTAGATACTAGAGATAGTTGGGGGAAGGTCATAGGATGTGGATAATAGGGGGAAGGGGGAAGGGGGATGGGGAAAAAACACAATACGGTTGATTGACATAGAAATGAAAAGATATTTGCTTTTGATAATGTATATGGTAATGTGTTTGTCTTGACTGAAATGCACTGTATTCATGCTGGGAAAAACAATGTAGTCCATTGTAAAGATGTATAGTGATTAAATGTATATATATAATTAAAAAGCAAAAATATTTAAGTAGAAAAAAGAAAAGCAAATAAAGAAGAAGAATGTGCTAACCTTCAGATTATATTTTCATTTTCATGCAGGTCTCAAAAGATTAAGGGAGGAAAATTATCTTTATAAAATGTTCTATTTAGTGATAACCAGAATACACAGGGAACTCAAGTGTCTTAATAGTAAAAAAAATATTAAGCCAATTAAAAGATGGAAAAATTAGCTGAACAAAAGTATCTAAGGAAGACATACAAAACCAAAAAAACATATGAGGAAATGCTCAACATCCCTCATGATAAGGGAGATGCAGATTAAAACTACAATGAGATACCACCTAACCCCTGTCTGAATTGCAAAGATTAAGAATATAAAAAGTGATAAGTGTTGGTGGGGATGTGGTGAAAAGCTAACCCTCCTACACTGTTGGTGGGAATGTTAACTAGTTCAGCCACTGTGGAGAACAATATGGAGGTTCCGTAAAGATCTACAAATAGAACTACCATTTGATCCAGCAATCCCACTTCTGGGTATTTACCCAAAGGACAGGAGAATGCTCAATTGGAAAAGCGCTTACACATTAGTGTTTATTGCAGCATTATTCACGATTACTAAGACATGGAACCAACCCAAATGTCCACAAACAGATGAATGGATTGAGAAAGTGTGGCACATATACTCTATGGAATACTACCGTATAAAACAAAATCCTACCATTTTGATAGAAAGTGGTCAGATATTGAAGATCTATTGCTGAGTGAAGCAAGCCAGGATATGAAAGAAAAATATTGTATGTATCCACTCAATATATACCAACTATCTGCATTTTGTGATAGAGATAGAAATATTGGAGGGCATAAAAGTATTTAAAATAGTGGGGATGCTGAGGACAGTGTAGAACAGGGTGGGAGAAGGGAAGCATATAGAGGACAGCAAGAGAACAAATAGAGAGGAGTGACATTAGTGGGACACAGAAATGGTTTATTACCTGTTGATGATGACATGTGTAGTATTCTCAACTGGACTGGTCTAAGAAGTATTTCATGTTGGATTAATTATTTTTACAAGCAAAATGATATATAGTGATTGAATGTTTAAAAACATAATGAGAATAAAAATAATAATAATCTGGAAAAAATGATGAAAACTATTTGATGATGATGTGGATAGTAATGTCTTTGTCTTGACTGATGTGCATGGTATTCCTTCTGGAGAAAGAAACGTAATAACACTGGAAAGATGTATGTGATTTAATGTAATATAAACAAGATTATGATAATAATAAATAAAAAATTCTGAGAAAAACATTCTATTTAGTAGATTTTATTTAGACTATAAAATGTGGAAATAATTAATACTCCCATCTCTGTAACAAAAATACATATTTCTTCTGTAAGTTGAAAGAGAAGACTTTCTCTCGATACCCTATATCCTCTCATTCAAAAGTTAAAGTTCATATCAACATATTTGCTTTTCAAAAGAAGTGTTTAAGGTGTTTGTCTTGCTTTTTATACAGGATAGAGCAGGCAGCAGTCAGTAGTGTTGACTTTATGTAGTTTTGTGCTGCATGGAGCACAGGCAAAGGACAGTTGAGAGCAACGCAGAAAGTTTCATCTATATGCCTCCTTTCTTTTTCTTCATAGGTGTAAATAAACCACCTGGCCAGAAGTCCTTGCATGGCTGAGGTTAAGGATGTTGAAACACTAAGATTTGGGATGAAAGCTGAAGAATTTTATTAAGACTTTTTCTGCAAGTATCTTCTTTGTAGCTAGGATTCATATTTAAGGTACTAAATACCACTATTAGGACTACCTATCAGAACGAAATTCAAAGATTAGTCAGGACTCATTGGTGCCTCAGTTTTCTTATTTGTAAAAATGAGATTAGGTCTGGGGACCAGCAGATGGTGTAATGGTTACATCATTGGACTCCCACGTAGTCGACTGAGGTTCAAGTCCCAGACACAGCAGCTTCCAATTCACGGTGGGCACATGTGTGTGTGTGTCCAGGATCCCGGGAGGAAAATGGAGGAGAAAGGACTGCAACGTGGCAATCCCCCCAGGGGGGTGATTTCTTGCTTTTTGTCTCTCTGTCTCTCTCAGTCTCTTTGGAGAATGAACCTGCCCTATAGCAAAAGCTCTCTATAAAAAAAAGTGACTAGGTCAATGTGAGAATAAAATGAGATAATGTATATTAAATACTTAGCTCCTTGTACATAATACTCACCTAATAGTAGCTATGAGTGTTTATTATTATTATTATTATTATTATTATTTTTTTTTTTATTATTAGGTTCTTGGGCATTGTGTTAGGTGGGGTGAAAAAAAGTGGGATTTTAGGAGGAAAAAAGGAGAGTAGGTAATGACTTGAAAAGTGGCCAAATGAGAACACAGTTTGATTTGCTATCTGAGAAGCTTACTTGCAATTTACATTTTCAAAGAAGATAGGGCATATTTTGTACATCTCTACAGTCAGAGTTCACATATTATTGCCCCAACCTCTCAACTAAGATTTATTCTTAGTTCCAGCAAAAACTACTAGAATAACTATTACTCAGGGCTCCTATGAAAGCAGAGGTCAAGGCTAAAATCCCAAGAACTAGAGAAGCAATTCTGTTGATTAAGGGAACTCCCAAAGGGAATATTAATTAGTATAATAATTATTATCGTGATAGAGGAAATGACGAGTTGAATGTTGAAAGCTGGGTAGGTATTCACCAATCAGATGAGAAATCCTGGGATTTTGGATGATTGGAGAGGTGTTCAGGAAGACAGGTGTGTAAACAAAACCACAGAGCAATGAAACAGCATTAGGCCTTGAGAAAGCAGTAAGTCATTTTATGCTATCTGAACATAGGATGCAAAGAAAGATAGTAGAGAGGAAAAGATTAGAGACTAGGGAGATCAGCTCTCCCAAGGTCTTGCTAACTGTGATAAGAAATGCAGATTTTTGCTTCCATAGTTATTAAGAAATTATAGTTAAATAGTCAAGAGAGAGAAATGGGCAGAGTATGGCAAGAAGTCAGGTTAGTAATGATGAGGGCTAAAACTAGGAAGGGATCCCTCTTGATGTAGGGATTGAATGGAGAATAGATATAAGAGAAGGTATGACTCTACACTTAGAGGTAATTAAAATTTAAAAATAAGCACACATGATTTTCCTAATAAATATTTTATTTATATGCGATGTTTTACAAAGGTATTTAAAACATGAAGTTATAGTTGGCTATATAGTTAGTTATTTGGTTTTTTTGAAAACAATATGATTACATGAAATTAGGACTTTCTCAGAAAGTGGTGTTAGAAGAATCTTCAATCTGTAGCCCGGGAATCTAACAGAAATGCTGAGCCCCCAAAACTTTAATTCCACCTCAAAAGTCAGCATCAGTCTAGGAAGGTCCTAGGTAATCTTGTATAATGAAGAGCTAGTACAAAATAAAATCTCAAACTTCTAAAATTGGGGTTCATACTCTAAACTTTAGGTAACTCAGTCTGTTTCAAGTACTACTCTAACACAGGAATTCAAATAGTGTTGAGGAGCTCTGTGGTTCAGAAATTGCTTAAAAATAGCTCCACGGAATTCTGTAGATTATGGAAGCAATCTTATCCATAGATAGAGGTTGAAACTACTGACATTGCCTCTATTGTCAAAGCCACATTGTAGTGCTCCAACAGGTTCCTTGCTTGACACCAAACTTGTCATTTGATGACCCTCTTTACCCCCACCCCTCCACACAGGTATCAGAATTCCATTCTGGCATGACCTTTTCCTATGCCAGTTAAGAGTTTATTACAAGTTAAAGAGTTAAAGAAGCTACCCAGATATTTTGGGAAGCAGCCCAGAACGAAAGCATCAATAATACAAATCAAGTCAATGTCCTATATATCAAAGCACCACATCCAAAAGGTCAAGGATGTAAAAAGTGACCTTTACATTTTGAAACAATACGCAATGTTATTGTTTTCAAAATATTATCAGAGAAAATAGAAACCTTTAAACAATAGTTTTAATAGAAAGTTTTTTAAAAGTGTTTATTCAGAGTTCAGTGATCATTCAAATATTTGCTAATTGTAATTCTATGTCACTATACATATTACTTTAAACAACTGTAAATATAAGCTAAAATGTGGGAATAAGTGTAATTTAATCTATTCCTAGCCCTACTTAGCATGTAACTATATCTTTAGTATAAACCTATGCTCAAGTGAAATATAAAAGGAATATCATTTATAATTTTTTAAAGTAGGAAGTAAATACCTAGAGCCTAAATAGTATTAACCTATGATAATATACTATAATATACTCAGTATAGAAGTGTTCATCTCTCTTACTATGTTGTCTCATAATTAATGCAACAAGTTAAAGATTGGCCCTGGTTCAAGAGAAAAGCCTGATGAAAATAGATACCACATTAAGAAACATCAGCATTCTCAAGGAAAAATTTGAAATGCCACTTCATCATTCACTATTATAATTTGAGGTAAATCTTCAGTTATTTCTTGGTTATAGCTATGTCTCACCAATGATAATTGTGTGCTACTATCCCAGAACAAGGGGAGAGGGCAATTCCTGAAAGTCATTAGAGAATGAAAATTACAGTTAAATTTGATTTCCTGTTCTAGAAGGGTGAAAAAAAGATTGGATTATACAGAAATACTTATTATGTTACTAAAGTCATGTAAAGACAATTTAGGTGGGCCTCAAACCATGAAGTCATGTTGATTATATGCATTTTTTCCCCATATTTAAGATACGAAAGTCTCCATTTCTCTAAGAGAACTGCTTTTTCGGCAAGACACACTCTCTCTCTTGCCTTGGAGCCAAGTAATTGGAACCCTAAACACACTGCGAAGCTTCTGTTGGAACCGGTTTCCAACAAAACAATACAGAAAGGGATTAACACAGCTGTTGGTGAATCCCAGGAGGATGGCAAAAGGAAGTGTCAGGTCAATGACTGCTATAACTTCACAGCTATTAATGATACCCATCCAGGCTAGAGCATCCAGGAAGGTCAAAACATGGAAGGGAAGCCAACAGATGATGAAAGCCAGAACAACAGCAGCTGCCATCTTCAAGACTTGGTCACGAGTTATTCTGTTCTTCCCGTAGCTATTAGTCTTCAGTAAGTGTTTTCGGATTCCAAAATAGCATGTTGCTATGAATATTAAAGGGATAATAAAACCAAGGATATTTTTCATTAAGGCAATCCCAGCTGACCATTGGGCATATTTTTCAGGTGGGAAAGCCATAATGCAGGCATTCACTCCTAAGTATTCAATGGTTCTGACATCTCGGAAATAAAATGTTGGCAATGAGGACAGACAGGCCATACACCAAACAAGGGGAACTATATAAGATGCTTGCCATGGATTTCTTCTTTGAGACAGAAAGGGGTAAATGACAGATTGGTACCTATCGACACTCATGCAGGTGATAAAGAAAATGCTTGCAAACATGTTCAGGGTCAGGAAAGAACCAAAGACTTTGCACATTACAGGTCCAAAGAGCCAGTCATATCTGTAAGAATAATAGGTTGCCCAGAGAGGAAGAGTAGCCAAAAGGAGTAAGTCAGCCACAGCCAGGTTGAAAATATAAATGCTGGAAACCTTTTTAGGACCCCTTTGACAACAAAACAGTGCAACCACAACAATATTGACAATGAATCCAATCACAAAAATAATGTAGTAGAGAATTGGAATTGCATCTAAATGCTTATCTGATGGTTTATGTGAGCAGTTAAAAGTAGACTCATTGTTGCCAGAAACGTTCACAAATCCGAAGTGGAGGCTGCTGGCAATGTTTTTGCTGGTGGTAGGAAGAGTGAAGTTGCCCTTCATAGTGAAATGTCAGCAGCTTCTAATTCTTACACCTTCTGTAGGGGAAAAAAGTGGAATTCTTAGAATGCATATACAGAGTTTAGGACATCCTTGCATCATTAGCATTTTGAATGGTTGTCAAAAGCAAAGAAAAAATAAATATAAGTGGGTGATTATAGAAGATGTTATGAAACAGATCCATGCTTTATAAAATAATAATGGATTTTACCTCTTGAAAAAGAAAATCATTTTCTCAAAAATAGCAAGAAGTGAGACGTTTCAGCTTCAACATTAAAAATTCTAAACGAACTACCTTTTGCCCATTTTTCTGCCATGTTTTTGCAATCTTTAAGAAAATTAATATTTTAAAACACTTGAGCACATACGTTAGTCTGTATACCTTTTAATAACTACACTGCTGCCTGCTATTACATAGAGAAATGCTTTATTCAACTAATTCTATAGGAAAAAATAAGTAACATAAACTATGGAAAAAATAAGTAAGTGTACAAAAGACTGAAAGAGAATATGCAAAAAAAAAACATTGGGCTGGGGAATCATGGTTGGTTTTTACTAACTGAAAATAATCCCTTTAGTTCTACTTTGCCATTGTTTTCACAATAATATAATTAAAAATATGTTATGGAATATGTGCATATTTCTAAAAGCTCTTTGTTCTGATTTTAATAAAGAATATTAGTTTCAGATATAGGTATTTAGGTTTGGGCTATTTAATAGAAAACTAATCCATTTGTAATGTAATTAGGAAAAGTAAAAGAAAAAAATAGCCAAACAGATTTTAGGTCAAGTAGAAACAGTTTTGATTCTTCAATGAAATAAAAATTGAACATTAATGATTAATCATGATATACTCTATTCACTTTTCCTTTGCTGTCATTTTAGTTTAACTGAGTAGCCCTTGCTCTCAAAAATAATGTTCAGATTTTTGTGATATTTTTTCACTAGCAATAGTATTTTAAAACAAAATAAAGGTATGAAAAGTTAAATATACTAAGAGAAAGACTATTACTTTAGATAGTTTCAAAATACATACAAATAAACTACCCAATTTCAGAAAAACTATCATTTTTGTCTAAAGTGCCTTCTTGTGCATAACCTAACAAATTAACATGAAAGAATAAAAGATAAATCCCACTTGAACACTTACTGGTTGTTGAAGTTTAAAGCAGTTATCAAAAATCAGCTTGCCTAATTCTTAAATGCACTCCTGTAAGAAAAACATAAGTTAAATAACTTAGGATTTTTTTTCAAAACAGAGTTAAAACACAGGAAAAGAGAAAGTTCACCCATTAAAAATATTTTCATTTTATGTATGTTCTACTTCCCAAGTAAAGTATTGTTCAGACTTACCTTCAAATTTCAAGCTGCAGAATGCTTTTGGGCTTTGTACTTATTCGTACTCTTAGACTCTGGGACTTAATAGCACCAGATCTCTGGTTTCCTTCTTATATGTTTGCTCTTTCCACTGGGAGCCTTCAACCTACATAATTCTAGGGCTGACTTATGAACACTTGCCAGCTTTCCAGAGGGTTTTTTTTTTTTTTTGGCTGCAAAACATTAATCTGAAATTCTCACTGTCTCCAATCATAACAGCTCATTCAAATAAATCTCAAACAAAAAAATGAAGTTTCCACAAATGTGTTAGAAAATTTTGAAGGTAATGGCTTACTTTAAAAGAATATCATTATTTGCAAATTTTTTTTTCTTTTCCCCCAACACTGGCATTCTAAAAGGAGTTAAGAAGCACAGGCTAGGGAATTGGTTCTAGTAATAGTCTTTGTTTACCAACATCTTTTACAACTTTCATTACTTTTTAAAAATTTTTACTCTTGCTTATCAAAGAATGGTAGCAACTTTACTTGAAGTCCACAGTTTATAAAATTTCTCCCTGGCATTAAGCTGTTTGTGTTGGCTTGTTGCTGGAAGGTGGGAGATGGGAAGGATATGACTTTCATGTGATGGAAAAGAGGAATTAACATTTAGTGTTTCCTTTCATAGGTCTTTGTCATATTTGTGGTTTAAATATAAAGCACATAAGGTGAAGATGAATTCGGCAGCTATTTCAGCCGTAAATCACTGTTGTTTTTCTTCTTCTTAAGACAATGGGGGCAATCAACTTTACACAACCTGTCCAGTAGAAATAAGAGTGACAAAATGAAAGACAAAAACAGGTGATGGCAGTGATAATGCTAACTGATAATAAATGCCATGTGCCAAACTGGGTGCTAAGTGCTTTAAAGTACACAATAGTTTAGTAGAAAGGCAACATAGTACATGACCTCTGGGATCCAACTGCCTGGTTTCACAAACCTACCTCAACCACTCACTAAGTCTACAAACGTGGCAAGTTACTTTCTTGCTTCATGTCTCAGTTTTCTCATCTGAGAAATGGGAAGAATGTTAAAAACCTACATCACGGAGTTATAAAAATCAAATGACCAGCAGTTAGCAGAGTGGTTATGTCACTGGACTCCCATGTAGTCGACCACGGTTCAAGTCCCGGACCCGGTGGCTTAAAACTCACGCTGGGTGCGTGTGCGTGCGTGCCCAAGATCCTGAGAGGAGAATAGAGGAGAAGGGATTGCGGCGTGGTCATCCCCCCTGGGGGGGGTGATTTCTCGCTTTCTGTCTCTCTGTCTCTGTCTTTCTGGCAAGTGCACGAGCGCTATAGGAAAAAAACCTCTGCAAAAAAATTTTTTTTAATTAAAATCAAATGACCTATTTTTATTTATTTAGATTTTTTTTTCAAAAGGTCACATGTGTTTGCTGGGGAGAGAGACAGAGATGGGGCAAGAGGAAAAGTCAAAAATCACAACTCCCATCTCCCCAGCTCCAGAGAGGTTGACCATACTGCAAAACCTTCTCCTGCATTTTGGGCACACATACACATGTACCTGGCATGTTTTTCAAGCCTCTGGGTTTGGGCTTAGAACTGCAAAGCCCCTTAACTATCGCCAAATGCTGGCTCCTACTTAATATATTTAAAGTGCTTGAAATTATTGGGACGAGCAGTTGGCATAATGGCTATGTCACTGGATCCCATGTGGTCGACCACGGTTCGAATCCTGGACCTGGTGCCTAAATTCACACTGGGAGCATGTTCGTGCATGCCCAAGATCCCAAGAGGAGAATGGAGGAGAAGGGAATGAGGCATGGCCATCCCCCCTGGGGGGTGATTTCTCGCTTTCTGTCTCTCTGTCTCTCTCTTTCTGGCAAACTCATGCACCCTATAGCAAAAACCTCTCCAAAATAAAAAAGTGCTTAAAATTATCTCTGGCACAGTCAGCAGGTAGTGTGGTAGTTCTGGATTCTCACATGGCAGATTGAAATTTGAGTCACGGATGCAGTGACTTGAAACTCATGACCGGCACATGTGTATGTGTGCCCAAAATCCTGAGAGGAAAATGGAAGAGAAGGCACTGCATTGTGGTCATCCTCCCTGGGGGTTGATTTCTCAGTTTTCTCTTTCTGTATCGGTCTGACAAGTGCACACACCCTATGACAAAAACCTAAAAAGAAAATTTAATTTGAAAAATATAATGTCTGGCATATGGGAAGCAATATTGTAAGATATTAGTTTTACCCCTATTTTAGAAATCAAGAAACTAAGGCTCACAGAATTTAAATACTTTTTCTGGGGTCACATAGCTATTCAGTGAAGGCATTCGAATTTAGACCAAAGCAAAGTAATGTCAGAGCTCACACTCAACCTCTATACTACAAGAGGAAGCACTAGTTGGTTCTTTGATCTTACCTTTTGTCTGGGCAAAATCCAAATATGTGGCATGTATGGAAACATCACCGCTGACCAGTCATAAACTATTATAAAAGTATCAAAATAGGGGAAAAGAGTTTGAAGAATTGTTAGGTGGGCAGAAATTTTTTTTCATAATATTATTTTTAAAATGGAAACTACAGGAAGGAGAAATGTGTAACTATAGAAAAGGGCAAAGAGATTTTAATTTTTTCTATGCATCATCTTTTCCCAATTAACATTAAGAGTATTCCTGTCCAAGCTACAGGCTGCGGGCTCTGGGCACCTAAAAAGAGAATTCAACAGGAGAAGAACAAGAAAGGAAGAGCAAACATGAGTGACAGAGGACAAAGTCACAATGACACAAGAAAAAACAGATGGCTTTTTGAGATGTGTCTGTTTCTCTATTAATTTTGAAGTCAATCCTGTGGCATGCAGGAAAACGAGACTAATAAAAAGAAGAAGTCTCATTGCCTGAAAAATACAGTAGGATTCAAGGGCTTATACAAGCCATCATAGGGTATTGTTTGGTAGACTGAGCTTGAACATGGATAAAATGTTCCTAAAAAGACACACACACATTTTACTAAATCTCACAATATTTGTTTCCTATGCTCTGGAGAGATTCAGGTTGAGGCTCTGTCCAGATGATGGAAAACTGATGTTTGGGAAACAAATGAGTGGGCACATCTGTTTATCGGCTGGAGAGTTGAAATGGGAACTGGTTTCACTCTTTGTTTAAGCTTGGTTTCTCCCTCCATTTCAAATGTTTGTTTTTTGCCACATACAGGGGAATTTTCCATGCCAGAGCCTCCTGAGTGGTCATCATGGGTCAGATTCCCACCCTGCTCTATTTCTAGCCGCCTCTTGGTGCCCCTTGCAAAGAAACAGCCAGGAGGTGAGCTATAAACTTGTGAGAACAAACTGCAGGCTCCCCTCCAGGAGACCTCGCCTTGAACACCCCGGAGGAGCAGAGGACCTTGTCTAGAACTTTCGTCCTTCGTTACAGTAAGTTCTGACGTAAATAAAGTTTAAAGAGGCACACATTTCCCAGAAGATTAAAAAAAGTTTACTCTACTTCTTCATAATTTTAATAGTAAAATTTTTCACAAATGAAAGAAAAACTTTTAACTGCAAGGAATTAAGGAAAAGGAAGAAAAAAAGAGTTAGAAATAATATTGATACCTCGTGAAGCAAGAAATACAGCATATTATTGATTCAGCAAGGAATTTCCAGTTAAGCCAACAATGTAAATACACTTGAGAGTCAAATAAATGTCAGTCATGGGAAACAGTACAACACACACACACACACAAAATCACTCTCCTGGGGGCATGGGGATAATTTTTCTGCTGAAATAATGACTTTAAAAGCCTCGGGTCATTTGAATAAATTATGCAGCACTTCAGAACAACAAGTGTGGCTGGAGCAGAATTAAACAGTTGTAAATCACATTCAATTAATTTTTCCAATAAATACCTATTGTTTATTGTGAGATTACTTAACAATAAATTTTAAAGAACAAGGGTAAATAAGACCTTCTTTTTTTTTAGGAATTTTTTGTCTTCTAGAGGGATATAAAATAAGATCATTACAAAATCCTATTTGTCCCTTATCCCACCCACACACAAAAACAAGTCTTTGAAAGAGAAAGGGAACACCTGAGCACAAAAGTTTGCTCATACATGTCTGGTTATAGAGATGAACATTGCAGATGCAGATTGTGAAATGATTGAATATACGTGGACCTTTCTTTTTAGTTTAAATTGTTCAGTCATTTTAATTTCCCCACCCTATCCACCTCTCTGAGTATCTATAAAGACCAATATCATTTTCTCCTCTCCCAAGTTCAACACACACATACACACACACACGCACACACATATCATTCACACATATGCCACATACATACTTCACATCGATCTTTCTTCAATTCTCTTACCCATAGAAAAGCCTTACTTTACTTGCCACTAGATTTTCCAGACCTAGGAGTCTATGAAGGGAGGGTAGTTAAGATTTCCCATTTTCAATAAGCCTTTACAGATTATTTCTTTCACCTCTCTTTAAGTTCCAATACAATGATTTTTTTGCCACAGGGAAAGTAAATGAGAAAAAAAAAATTAAGATCTATTCAGAACTAACAATCATTAACCACTTTGTAGGAACCAGCTTTAAAATTAAGTAAAATGACCAACGTGAGTGAATATTTGCATCAAATTAAGTGTCTGTCAAGGGTGAAGGAGAGGACTGTTGAATCTGTTAACAAAGTAGATTCCACGTAGTGAGATGAATAGATGCCTGACTCAGTACATTCCTGAGACCAGTTGCTTCCAGCTGAACCCGGTCCCAAGAACATAAAGAGAAAGTCTTCCTTCCAATTTCCCTTCACCCAGAGACACTTGAAGACTTGAGCATTGTGATCAGAACAGGGTTTTACAAAAGGCACCACAGTGCTACATAAAAAAGTTGAAAGAAAGAAGAAAGAAAGAAAAAGAAAGAAACAAACAAACAAAGAAAGAAGAAAGACAAAAAGAAAACTGTCTAAATTTATTGTTTACATTCAAACTATGAACTAACTGACTTGACATTTCCCCCCACTGATATGACTAAATTGATTAGCTTGACTAAATTATCCAAAAGAGCTAACTGATCAAATTGGTCAAACCAATCATTTGTATTGACG